GGGAGCCTATATGTTGAGAATCGGGTCATGGAACATAGGTTCACTAATGAGTAAATCCATAGAGTTGGCGAAAATCCTTTAGAAGAGGAAGATTAATATAGCGCGTATCTAGGAGATTAGGTGGGTCGGATCGAGGGCGAAAAACGTGGATGTGTATAAGTTGTGGTACTCTGGTGTCCTGAGGGGTAAGAATAGAGTGGGTATCTTGGTAGATAGACATCTTAGAGAGTCCGTGGTAGAGGTCGAGCGGGTGAATGATAGACTAATGACTATTAAGTTGGTGGTGGGTGAGAGTACTTTAAATGTCGTTAGCGCGTACGCATCGCAAGCAGGCTTGGATGAGGATATTAAAAGGTTCTTTTGGGAGGGGTTGGATGAGATTGTTCATATTATTTCGTCTTCCGAGAGGTTATTCATAAGAGGAGATTTTAATGGTCATATTGGGTCATCTGCAGGTGGGTACACTGAGGTACATGGCGGCTTTGGTTTCGGGAGCGAAACGGAGGGGGAATTTCGCTGTTGGACTTTGCCAAGGCTTTCGATCTAGTCATTGCGAACTCAAGTTTTACGAAGCGGGATGACCATTTGGTTACTTACTAAAGTTCGGTGGCGAAGACTCAAATTGACTATCTCGTCCTCAAGAGATGCGACAGAAGGTTGTGTGAGGATTGCAAGGTTATCCCAGGTGAGACCCTCTCAACGCAGCATAGGATTTTGGTGATGGACATTTGTATTAGGATACGGAGGAAGAAGAGGTCAGTACAAGGACGCCCCAGGATTAGGTGGGGCACCTTAACTAAGGATAAAGCTAAGGAGTTGGAAGGAAGGTTATTGGCAATGGGAGCTTGGAGAAGTAGTGGGGACGCAAACACAATGTGGTCGACGATGACGGACTGTATAAGAAAGGTGGCGAGAGAGGTGTTAGGGATATCTACGGGCCGTAATGGTGGCCACAAAGGAGATTGGTGGTGGAATGCAGTTGTCCAAGGTAAAGTGGAAGCAAAGAAGGCGACTTACCTGAAGTTAGTAGGGAGCACTGACGAGGAGGAGAAGAGAGCAAACAGTGAAAGGTATAAGGTAGCTAGGAAGGAGGCGAAGATGGCAGTGATGGAGGCTAAGACGACAGCTTTTGCCCGTCTGTATGAGGAACTAAGGAACAAAGGTAGGGAGAAGAAGTTATTCCGACTCGCTAAGGAGAGAGAGAGGACAACTCGGGATCTGGACCAAGTGAGGTGCATAAAAGATGATGACGGCAAAGTTTTGATGGGAGATGACCAGATTAAGAAGAGCTGGCAGACCTACTTTCATAAACTTCTAAGTCAAGAAGGGGATCAGGATATTATACTAGGGGAATTGAGGAATGCCGACAGTCCCCATGAATTAAGTAATTGTAAGGACATTGAGATCGATAAAGTCATGGAGGCAATGCGTAAGATGAGAAGGGGCAGAGCTACCGGGCCAGACGAAATTCCGGTTGAACTTTGGAGGTGTGTGGGTAGAGCAGGCTTGGAATGGCTTACTGGATTGTTTAGTGTTATATTCAAGACTAATAGGATGCCTGAAGAGTGAAGGTGTAGTACAATGGTTCCGTTGTATAAGAACAAAGGTGATGTCTAGAGCTGTAATAACTATAGGGGCATCAAATTACTGAGTCATACGATGAAAGTTTGGGAGAGAGTGGTAGAAATGAGAGTGTGAAGGACGGTGTCTATTTCAGACAACCAGTTCGAGTTCATGCTGGGGCGATCTACCGCAGAAGCTATCCACCTCATTAGGAAGATGGTGGAACAGTACAGGGATAGGAAGAAGGATCTCCACATGGTGTTTATTGATCTGTAGAAAGCGTACGATAGGGTTCCTAAGGAGGTCTTATGGAGCTGTTAGAGGATAAAGGGGTCCCAGTTGACTATATTAGGGTGATTAAAGACATGCATGCTGGAGCTAAGACTCGGGTTAGGATAGTAGGAGGCGACTCTGAGCATTTTCCAGTTGTTACGGGGTTGCACTAAGGGTCTGCGCTCAGCCCATTCCTATTTGCCCTGGTGATGGATGCACTGACTCATCATATTCAAGGGGAGGTGCCATGGTGCATGCTATTTGCTGATGCCATTATTCTAATTGACGAGACATGAGGCAGCGTCAACGAGAGGCTAGAGGTTTATAGACATGCTCTTGAGTCTAAAGGTTTCAAGTTGAGCAGGACGGAGACGGAATACCTCGAGTGCAAATTTGGGGTTGAGCCGACGGAAGCGGGAGTTTAAGTGAAGCTTGACTCTCAAGTCATTCCCAAGAGGGGTAGTTTCAAGTACCTTGGATCGGTTATTCAGGGGATCGGGGAGATTGACGAGGATGTCACACACCGTATAGGGGTGGGGTGGATGAAGTGGAGGTTAGCGTTGAGAGTCTTGTGTGACAAGAAAGTGCCACCGTTACTAAAAGGTAAGTTTTATAGAGCAGTGGTTAGGCCTGCCATGTTATATGGGACTAAGTGTTGGCCGGTAAAGAACTCACACATTCAGAAGAAAAAGTAGCAGAGATGAGGATGTTGAGGTGGATGTGCGGGCATACAAGGATGGATAAGATTAGGAATGAAGATATTCGTGAGAAGGTGGGCGTGGCCCCCATGGAGGACAAGATGCGAGAAGTAAGACTCAGATGGTTCGGGTACATTCAGAGGAGGAGCACTGATGCACCGGTAAGGAGGTGTGAGCGACTGGCTGTAGTGGGCACGAGGAGAGGTAGAGGGCGACCTAAGAAGTATTGGGGAGAGGTGATCAGACAAGACATGACGCGACTTAGGATTACTGAGGACATGGCCCTTGACAGGGAATTGTGGAGGTCGAGCATTAAGGTTGTAGGTTAGGGGAAATTTGTGAATATTTCTACAGCACAATAGAGTGAAATTAGCCAGTTAGGAGTTAGACTGAGAATACCATTGGTCGTCTATTGATGCAGGGCTTTACCTGCTAGTTTTTACTATATCAGCCATTTATTTTGTGTTTTGTATTTTGTATTTCGTATCTCTTATATTGTTGTTATTTTATTATGTGTTTTTATGGTACTAATATATCGTCTCTTATTTCTTTCTTGAGCCGAGGGACTCCTGGAAACAGCTTCTCTACCCTTTGGGGTAGGGGTAAGGTCTGCGTACATATTACCCTCCCCAGACCCCACTTGTGGGATTATACTGGGTCGTTGTTATTGTTGTTGTAATTTTGACTTTGGGACTTCACAGTTATAATATAGTATGATATATAGATATACTC